GTGAGCTGTAGGGACCTTGGGCAGTCCAGCGGTTTGACAGCTGTGGGAAAGCCTCGGTGGTCATTGGGTAGGGTGAACCACAGCAGCTTCAGATTTTTCGAGAACATCCTTCCCCCCTCTGAGTCACCGGCTGGCTCTGGAGCAGAGGAGACACACTTTCCAGTCGCTTCTGTCTTCTCAGATTGCAGGGCTGTTCCGCTGGGGTGACTAAGTGGGAGCGTTTCTCTGTGGGTCTTCAGTGCTTCAGCTGGGCGTTTCTATAGTGCCGTCTCCATAGCACCCAGCTAAGCGAGGAGCTGTGAGGCAACGTGGGGCGGGTGGGGACAGCGGGAACCTGGCCGCCGTGGGGACAGGCTTAATGCCATTTTAAATGGCCCAGTGCCAAGCCGTTGGTAGTGCAGGCTCGGGTTGTGTTCTGTGCTCTGGGCTCTCCAGAAAGTGTGGGTGTTCCACCACTCCGGCGTGCCCTGTCCACTCGACTGATGGAGGGGCTTGGGGACCCGAGGGCCAGCCGCCACCTGTCCCTGTCCTCTGCCGTCTTCCTTGCAAGGGGACACTTCACTTGGCCCAGATTTCCAGGATCTTCCTGGCAAAATTGTGGTCTGTCTGTGAGGAGTCAGTGGCCTGGAAAAGGAGGTCAGGGAAGTCGGTGGTTATTCCTAGACAGAAGTGGCAGCCACGTGTCACTGGCAGGCTTCACTGTGCTGCTGCCCGATGCCTTAGGACCAGGGCTGACTGGAGCTGATGATGTCAGCCCAGATGGGTGTGTGGTCCAGGGCTCTTCCCTGCCTCCCAGCTGGGAATTCTCAACGGTCCCTGAAGTGTACTGCTCTGAGGCCATTTCTCCCTTTCCTTGAACCACCCTAGGTGCCCAGGCATGACCTGTGAGGTTGCTTTTATTCCTAGGGGTACATAAGTAAGTGGAAATCTTAAAAATAAAACACCATGCCCTCCTAACTCACCGGCTGCCAGGCCTGCTAATGAGGCCGGGCCCCGTACCGGTACCCTGCTCTCCGGGGAGCCGAAAGCTGGGGTAAAGGTAGTGCGCAGCCTACAAACCCAGAAACCGCCAGTGGAGGGCTGGCTTCAGGCCTCAGTTTGGAAGGTGCTGTTCTCGGGGCAAGGAGACCCAGAGGGCCCTGTGGCCTGGTTTATACTGCTGTCCTAGGTGACAGTTCCAAGTGGAGCCTCTTTTCTGAAGTCCCCTAGATAATGAAACAATGCAGATCATCACTGGCACTCTGCTGCTGAGCCCTTCTCTGGCTACTGTTGTCCTTGAGAAGTCTCTGGAAGAGAACAGTGGCCCCAGGATCCACCCTAGCCTCAAGAATCTTGGACATTCCTGAGCTGGCCACCAAGCTGAGGTCCGTGTCCGTGTCCATGTCCGTGTCCGTGTCCATATCCCTGTGCCCAAGGTCTTAGAAACTACTTGGACCCTAGTTGCTCCCTGAAGGCCGGAGTGCCCTAGTCCCAGACAGTTGCTGGCCTGGGACGGAATGAGCGAGACCCAGGAGGCCCACTGGTGTTGCCCTGTGTGATGACTGGCAGGTGTGCTCCTCCGTGACCCCAGTATGCCTGGTCTCATCTCACCAGTCTTTCCTAACACTCAGGAAGGAGCTCACACCCTGGCTGAGCCTCCTCCAAAGCTCCCTGGAGTCCTCCCAGCACAGCTCCTCTGGGGACAACAAGGCTGCATGCCCCACCCCCTACTTCCCAGAGGACCCTGGAGTGCATGGGAGGTTCAGGGAGCAGGAAGCCCTGGTAGGCGCACGTTGCATAACCAGAGGAAAAGTACTTGGCGCTGTGGAGGAGAGAGAGGAGGATCAGAGAGAATTGGCCCCGCCATCACGACAGCGGAGCCCAGTCAGGCTGGAAAGTCTCTCTCACCTGGTATTCTGACTTCTCTCTTTACAAGAGAGTCCCACCTGGCAGACCTGTGGCTGGGCCCTGCTGCCCCTTGAGAGGACCACTCACGCTGGTGCTGCCGGGGAGAGGGCTGGAGTTTAATGTGGGGCTGCAGGGGCAGGAGCCTCAAGATGTTAGGTTTAATGACAAGGGTATGGCAGGCCTTGACCTTGGAGGATATGTGCTGGCTGTTAGGCAGAGCTGTGCCTGCTCTGGTAGCCACAGTGAGGACCAGCCCCCACCCAGCTGGGCTTCCCCCTCTTCTGTCCCTCCAGCTGAGCCCTGTGTGGGGAGATGCTAAGGGAACAGCCTGCTCCAACCCCCTCTGTCGCCCACGGCTCAGCCGCCCACCCACGCTGAGTCAGAGCTCGGAGGTGCCTGTGAGTCAGCTGTGAGCACCCTGGCAGCTCAGGCCTGCCCCCTGCTGGAAGATGGCCACACTCGGAAGCACTTAAACAGCTGCTCCTGGGCCCCAAGGCTGGCTGAGCACTCTGCTCCAGGCTGTACCCCCGTTCAGCCTTAGTGGGGTGGGTGCAGGATGTGCACTGGAGAGGTGTCTCTGGTGTTTCGTAACAGAAAATTCCAGCCTGCACCTGTATGTGAATAGGCCTTTCCTGACCTTCAGACGGTTTGATTATCACAGCAGGGTTTAGCTATAGAACCAAGTTCCACACACTGCTACCAGGCCTTGGGTGCATACCGTTGCAGCCAGGTACCACAGAGGGACCAGCAGAGAAGTTAGAGGCGTGGGCATACTCCTCCCAGAGACAAAGCCATGGGCTGACCTGTAACCATTGTGTCTTCTCCATCTCAGGAAGAGCTCAAGGAAAGCTGGGCATGGTGGTGTGTGCTTCAGCCCACATGTGCCCCTGACCTGGGGTGCCGACACTGGCCATTACAGTCCTCTTAAACTGTCGCTTTCCTGGTTTTCTGCCTATGGCTGACTTTCTTCAGTGTGGCCCTTTGTCCAGTAGTTCCTTTTGGTGTGGATGGCTTCTATCTCTTTTGAGGCTTTCTTTCAAATTGTGAACTACACATAACTGATACAAGTCACCGTTTTAACCATTAGGTGAACAGCTCAGCCGCAGGAGCACTTTCTTTGGCTGGTTGGCTGATAAGGTCTCAGGTATCCTAGGTTAACCTTGGACTCCCTGTACAGCTCGGAAGACCGTCAGGAGTGTTGGGAACACGGGCCTGCAGCCGCACTGCACCTTTACACTGCGCAGGGGTGGAGCCCAGGCCTGTGCTGCAAGGCAAGCCCTCTGCCAGCTGAGCTCCATCCCCTTTTGTTTTATTTTTGTGGTGCTGTGGGGGGTGGAGCCCAGGGCATCTCTTGTGCTATGCAAGTGCCTACCACTGAGCTACACTTTCAGTCCAGAGCACCTGTCTTCATGGCATGTGTCAGCACGTCCATCCATCCCCAAAATCTCTTTATCTTTACAGTGTGAGACTGTCCCCGCTGAATGTCAACTGCTACACTGATGCCATCTTTTCCCTTCTTGTCTCCATAAAATTGACTTCCCTGAGCTCTGGATTCCCCGGTCCTCTGTCTTGGCACACTTAGAATGGGCGGTTTGGTCTGGAGGTTTGCACAGGTCTTGGGGGATTTTTGGCAAGAACCTTCCTGGGTAGCTTATGTGTCCCCAGAATGCTCAAGAGAGGTTGGGAAGAGACAGCTATTGGTGGCCAGAGACAGCCCTGTGACCTCAGGAGTCTCTAGATGGGGACGGGGTGGGCAGTGCTCTCCGAGTTCTGTGTAATCACAGTGACCACATCTCTCTCTTGAGCCCAGAGTATCTGTGAGGGTCTTACAAAGCCACCCAGATTGGACACCCAGGTGAAACCCAGGTAACCCAGGTGAAAAGGCAAGAGCTTAGGTCATTTTTCACTTCCTGCTCTATGAGGGCCCTCACCCAGGCACCCCCTCTTCCAGTGACGGTGACCTGTATGTTTCTGATGAGGGGCCTCTCAGCCCCAAAGAAGGTCTCTCCTCACCTAGGTATGGTATTCATGGAATAATCTAGGATGTGCCCCCCTGCCCCTTCCCACCTCCTCATTCCTGGGTGCCCATGGTCTCTCTAGCCACAGGCTTACCGGAGTCTCCTCTGTCAGTGTCTCCATTCTGTATCTTCTGCTCAAGCTGAGACTCGGAGGCAAGAGAGACTCTAGGTGACACGAGACTAAGAAGCTGCCGTGTGCTTTGTGGAGCCAGGACACGAGGGAGCATTGCAGAAGCCCTCCACTCGGACGTGCCTGGGCTGGGTGTAGCGGAAGCCTGGGTAGAGCTGACCTGCCACTGCTACCTTACTTTCGCCTTCTCAGGAAAAGCCCAAGGAAGGCTGGGATTGGTTGTAATCGCAGCATAAGAGGCAAGACAGAAGGATTACTCAAATTCAAGGCATACTTGAGTTTTATAGTTCAAAACTAGCCTGGCTACATGAAGATCCTGTCTCAAAAATACATTTGTAGCTGGGCAGTGGTGGTGCATGCCTTTAATCCTAGCACTTGGGAGGCAGAGGCAAGCGGATCTCTGTGAGTTCGAGGCCAGCCTTGTCTACAGAATGAGATCCAGGACAGGCTCCAAAACTACACAGAGAAACCCTGTCTCAAAAAAAAAACAAAAAAAAAATTTTTTATATGAGGGTTGGGGAGTTTGTGTTGGGCTCAGTAGATAAAGCACTCGCCACAAAAGTGTAAGGTCCATGGTTCTGATCCCTAGCACCCACATAAATGCCGGGTGAGAGTGGTAGCATATACCTGGAGTTCCAGCATCTGGGAGGTGGAAACAGGGTCCCCCAGGGCAAGCTAAACTAGTAGAAACGGGGAGCTCTAGGTTCTGTGAGAGACTCTGCTTCAGTAAACAGAGTGATCAAGGAAGACACCAGTGTCAGTCTTTGGCTCCATGTGCACGCTTATGTATTCACAGTGTATGTTTATAAACCCAGAGATCCTCCACCTGGGTCCTCCACAGGAGACAAGATCCTGGGCAGCATGCAGGCATGCTGGAAGTGGCCTGCAGGGATGATTGGATATGTTGCCTAACTAAACCCTAGCAAGAGCTGCCTCTGCTCACCAGCCTGTCCTTCTGCCCCCAGTACATCGATGCCATCAGCAACAAGCAAGGTGAGCTGGAGAACTACGTGTCTGACGGCTACAAGACAGCGCTCACTGAGGAGCGCAGGAGGTTCTGCTTCCTGGTGGAGAAGCAGTGTGCTGTGGCCAAGAATTCTGCTGCCTACCACTCCAAGGTAAGCTAACACCGTGGGCTGCAGGCTGCCTGCCAGTGCAGCTGGCGCCTTTTGCAGGAGGGAACTAGCTGTGCATGGACCCAGACTATGTTCATGAGTGTCCGAGCTCCCAGAGAAGGCACTAACAGAGAAGCGTCCTTGTGCACCTCAGACTGGGGAGCAGAGTTCTAGAGGAAGAACTGCCAGGTCAAAGGGCGTGGCATTTTGAAGACCAGCATTAGAAATTGCTGGATATTTTGGGAGACTGCAACTGACTGCCTGCTGAGGAGAGCTCAGAGTGGGGTAGGTTTGGGGCCTTTCTAAAATCAAATCACCCTTGGCCTTTCTGCTGCAGCCAAGGTCTAGCTAGGCTGATGGCCGGCCCGAGAGGGAGTGGCCACAGCCCTCCTGGCCTCTGAAGTGTTAGCTTTTTGCCTTCACTTAATTCTCCTGATCACATGCTCATCTGAACACCTGGGTGACCCCTGGGCCAGTGGGTCTGCAACTGTGAAACTGACGACTCCTAGCCTCTAAGGCCAGACCATGTCACTAGACATACGGACCTGTGTGGCTTACTGTCTGCCAGCTGCCATGGTTTGGCTGTTCCACATGGAAGTGACCACCCTCATCCCACACCACACCTCCCATCTATGGTCCCTGTCTACCCCCCAAGTCCCTCCCCTTTACTGCTCCAGGTGGCCTCTTCAGAGCCCAGACTGGTCACATGGGTGTCCTCAGAGTCCCTCCTTGTCCCCACTTTCTCTGGTGCCATCAAGCACTGGGCTCATTTATTTAGCCATTCCTGGTTCCTCCATGACCACTGAGAAATGAACTTCTTTCCACTAATTCTAACGAGGACCCCTTTAGACACCCCCATGTTCCCTCTCCCTGCTTACAGCCTATTCCATCAGGGGACACACACACACACACACACACACACACACACACACACACATACACACACACACTTCCTGGGAGGTGCCACATTCCAAGACCTAGCCCAGCCTTGCTGAACAAAGAAAGTTCTTGTAAGGAGCTGCCTCCTCCAGGATGGTCTGCCATGAGTTCCTGAATATATGGCCTGGGCTTGGGAGGCAGAGTTCAGAGGCCCAGGGCATTCAAAGGGCTGACATAACCCCCAGGGGTAGGAAAGGCACAGATGTTAGACTCTTGCTGGAAACATGTTGGGGTGAATGGAACCCTGTCATTCACTACATCTGTAGGAGCTAAAGTGGGGTCAGATTGTGTCCCCTGGAACATTTAAGAACACTCAAAGACCTTAGATGTGATTAGGCAGCCCAGCCAACCACAGAGACCCTGGTCATGTCCTGGTGAGGGAAGGTGGTCTAGAAACTGTCACTATACACGCTGACATGTGTCCTTCCCACACATGTACACACATGACCTACAACCTCTGCTCTAGTCCTCAGGGCCTTGGGCACCAAGAAAACAAAAGCCCAGAGGCTGCTTTCTACCTGGGCTGTTGCGGCTGGAAGCAGGGACCCAGCCAGGTCCTGAGAGACATGCTGTCTGTGCCTCCTCCTCTTCCACTGTGCCCCTCAGTCCCCACTCTGAGAACTACTGGTAGTTTAACTAGCTGGGTGCACTTGCCAGCACAGCGCTCTGAGGCTGGCAGAGGCATCTGCGCCCTCTAGTGGGAACCAGACTTTGTGTCAGGACTAGAAGGGCTCTGACCTCCCTGTGTGGGCAGCTGGCTAGACTGCGTGCAGGCACTGAACGCAGGTCCTGATGCTGTTCTGCAAGCGTGGCCCTCTCGGGATGTAAGGGTTTGACCCTCTGCAGCACTGCGGCCCTGGAAGCCCACTTGTCATAATGGCTGCGGGGGCAGGGGCTGCCTCACCTGTACCGGATGCCAGGCAGAGCTGTACTGCCCATTCAGGCCTTTGAGTTTCTTCAAACAGACCCAAGGCCCTAGAGCAGAATTCATGTCACGTCCATGCTCCCTCATCCTCTGCACATCCTGTATGCTCACGGGGTGGGCTGGACCCGAGATAGGCCTTCATGTGCCCCAGAGACAAGCCAAGCTCTTGACCCCTAGAGGTGGGTAGGAGTGGCGAGCCTGTCTCCAGACAGGGGCCACCTTTGCACATCTCCAGCTCGTGGCTTGACCATGACTGGGCAGCTCTGTCCTGTCTCCAGTTTTAACCTCCTCCCTACCTGCCAGATGGCTCTTTCCTCAGTGCTGTGTAGTTTTGCCCACAGAGGAGCTGCCTACCCTGGGGCTGGCTGTGGAAGCTGTCCACTTTGTTTCCTTCAGGCCCCTGAGGAAGCACTTGCCACAACAGGGCCTTCTTTGGTCTGATCTCATGCCTGGTGTTCTCAGTGACCTAGCACCCAGGTGCACGCCAGGCCCTTGAGCAGGTATTCCCTTTGGAGATGCAAGGCCTCACAGGTGGCTGTGGAGTTTTGAGGAACCATTGATGAAGAACAGCAGTGGGCAGGCCAGGACACATGTAAGCAAGGTGATGGTGCTCAGGGAGACAGTTCTGGCCTGTGCCCGCTGCGGGAACTCATGCCGCTGCTGACTCCCTTCCTGTCCTGTGTCGTCCACTCTAGGGCAAGGAGTTGCTAGCCCAGAAGCTGCCTCTGTGGCAGCAAGCCTGTGCTGACCCCAACAAGATTCCAGACCGCGCTGTCCAGCTGATGCAGCAGATAGCCAGCAGCAATGGCTCCATCCTTCCTAGTGCCCTGTCAGCCTCCAAGTCCAACCTGGTCATCTCAGACCCCATTCCTGGAGCCAAACCCCTGCCAGTGCCACCTGAGCTGGCACCGTTTGTGGGGGTGAGTTCTGGGCCTTCGAAAGCTTAGGGGTGTTCCCTTTGCTTAGGGTGGCAGCATGTTCTCTAATGGGCAAGCCCAATGTGCTGAGCCCAGGCCCCTGTGGTGGGTGCAGGGTTACTCCCGAGGTGGCTCCCAGCGACGCCCTGCCCCTGCCTCTTCCTCCAGCGGATGTCTGCTCAGGAGAATGTACCTGTCATGAATGGCGTCGCAGGCCCGGACAGCGAGGACTACAACCCCTGGGCTGACCGCAAGGCTGCCCAGCCCAAATCCCTGTCTCCTCCGCAGTCTCAAAGCAAGCTGAGCGACTCGTACTCCAACACACTCCCCGTGCGCAAGAGCGTGACCCCGAAGAACAGCTATGCCACCAGTAAGGGCCTGAGGGTACTAGGCTGAGAAACCAAGGCTTGTGAGTGCGTGTGCGTGCACATGACTGTGGGAGTATGTATGTAGGTATATACGTGAACATGTGTTTCTGCATGGTATATATGTACATAGACCTGTGTGCATGTCTACAAATATCTATGGATGGTTTGTGCATGGGGATGTTACGCATGTGTGAGCATGTAGTGTGTATTGATTGGTAGAATGGCATGGTGGAATGAGACCAGGACCCTGTTTGTAGCGGACAGACAGGCTGGAGGGTGGAGGGAGTTTCAGTTGATCATGGGACAGCTCCTGTGTTTGGTCCATGACTATTGTGAATCCTGTTTGCCGGCTCCATCTGTCATGAACAGTCTCTCATGCACATACCCGTTGTCCCGGCAGCTGAGAATAAGACGCTACCACGTTCGAGCTCCATGGCAGCTGGCCTAGAACGTAACGGCCGCATGCGGGTCAAGGCCATTTTCTCCCACGCGGCCGGTGACAACAGCACTCTGCTGAGCTTCAAGGAGGGCGACCTCATCACACTGCTAGTGCCTGAGGCCCGTGATGGCTGGCACTATGGCGAGAGCGAGAAGACCAAGATGTGAGCACCCACCTGCAGGGAGCAAGTGTGAAGCAGCCTGCCCACATAGCAAACAAGGGGGTGGTGGCACTCAGGTGTGCTAGCATCTACCGGGAAACCTGAGCAAGAAAGACAAGCACAACACATAATCTCGCATATCCTGGCCTTTTCCCCACTAGCCTAATCTTTACAGAAGCCCTTGGCTGTTACTTCTGTCTCTCTGTGATTGGCTATTCTTTGCTGCTTATTTGGCACAGGACAGTTTTCTGAATGTATGTGTATGGTGGCATACCTGGCCATTTTCAAGGTGGAGGCCTATGTATGGTTTCCCTGGTAATATGTGGCAGAGCAGACTTGACCAACCTGAGACACCTCCCCAACAAACTCCTGTAGGTCTGAATAGCCTTTGGCAATGTCACCAAGTCTTAGGGCCACCCAGCTCAGCCTGAGACTCCCTGTCCCCCAACTCTCCTGTAGTTCCAAATTCCCTCCAGCAACATCACCAAGTCTCGGTGCCACCTGGAGGCAGCCTGCATCCCCAGGAAAGCAGCAAGTTTTTGTCTGAGTGTGTCTTTGACCCATATGACTAAGCAGCTCTGGCCAAATCGAGGCCAAACTGAGCTTTGCTGTGGCCCAGTAGCAGCTTCAGAGTGGGCAGAGAGCCTCCAAGAGGCTCATTGCCTCTGTCCCAGTGGTCTCCTGGTCTTTTTTTTTTTCCCCCCTTGGTTTTTTGGTTTTTTCGAGACAGGGTTTCTCTGTGTAGCTTTGCGCCTTTTCTGGAACTCACTTGGTAGCCCAGGCTGGCATCCAACTCACAGAGATCCACCTGCCTCTGCCTCCCGAGTGCTGGGACTAAAGGCGTGCGCCACCACCGCCCGGTGGTCTCCTGGTCTTACAGCTGTCACCATCATGGTAGTGGGCTGTGTGGCAGGTGAGGTACAGGTGCTCAGACCCATGGCTCCTCCAGGCTGGACTGCCTCATCCTTGGGGCTCGGTGCAGATCCAGCACCAGCCACTTGGTTGGTCTCCTTGAACATGAGCACCTAGCCTTACACAGAAGATAAGGACAGGCTGGGGAACTGCTAGGACTTTGGATCTGACAGTGGTCAACGGGGCCACCATTCTGCCCCGTCATGCATATGGAGGGCCTATAGAATGGATTCTGGGCTCTCACCTAGGACTTTTTCTCTAGGCGTGGCTGGTTTCCCTTCTCCTACACTCGGGTCCTGGACAGCGATGGAAGTGACAGGTTGCACATGAGGTAAGCATACTGGCTAGGCTGGACCCCTGGGCACCAAACTGGGCAGGCCTTCTAGGTCTTCCTCTGCCCTCCAGAGCCGTCTCATAGGCCCTGCTGTGTGTCTGAGACTATACGTGGGAGGATGTGAGATGCTGCAGTGTTAGGAGGTGTTCTGGGGATGGGTCCCGAGAGTCCTGGGGATGCTGGAAAGAACAGCGGGTGCAATGTGGGCAGTTGTTAGCCCATCATGACTCTGCTACACCTCCACTACCTACCCCTAGAGCAGGGTTGGAGGGACCCTTGAAGACTCCTAGCTGTCTTTGGCAAGGTGATTGGGCTTCACCGGGAAGCATTTGGCAGTTTCCTCCTGGTGTATCTGTATGCACAGTTCAGGAAAACTGGGCAGGGAGGCCAGAGGGGAGACCTAAAAATGTCACTGGCTACCGACAGCAGCCCAGGGCAGCTGAGTGAGAACACGGGCTGTGGGCTGGACTGTCTGGCCAGCCGCTGAGTCCCTTGTCCCCGCAGCCTGCAGCAAGGCAAGAGCAGCAGCACAGGCAACCTTCTGGACAAGGACGACCTGGCCATCCCTCCTCCTGACTACGGCACGTCCTCCCGGGCCTTCCCCACCCAGACAGCGGGGACGTTCAAGCAGAGACCCTACAGTGTGGCAGTGCCTGCCTTCTCTCAGGTGAGGCCTGAGGCCTGGGGCTGAGATGGATCTGCATGGCAGGACCACGGACTTGGCTGGCAAAACTTAGAGGTTTCTCCAAGAACCCGGCACCTGGTGCTAACTGGTGTCTGGACCTCTTGGCTGACAGGCCTGAGGCAGAGGCTCTGTGGCTGGGGACTTTAGCCACACACCCTACCCGACTTGGTGTATTCACCACCCTTCTGCTTGGTGTGCTGTGGGAACTTGGGCGTGGCTGGCCTGGGGATCATCCTGGAGACCCACTACCACCTAGGGGACAGGGAATCAGAACTCCTTCCCTAAAAGCTGCAGGGTGCTGGTGTCTAGATGGTAGTGTGATCTGCTGCTGTCCAGTGTTTTCTAGTCAGTGTGAGACCATAGGTGGCTGGCTAAGGCCTCTAGGCCCCGAGAAGGGTCCCCGTCAAACCCCTGTGCAAGTGGTAGTCAGAATGTCCTAGGTGGTTCCGGCTTTGAGTGCAGCCCCACGGACGTGCAGGGCTGGATCGTAGCTCCTGTAAACCTGGGACTCCCGTGAGAAGGAGGTTGGTCTGCTCTAGCCTTGAGTGCAGAAGGGATAGCAGCTTGTCTGTGGCTCCATCCAGCTCTAGGGCAGGGCCTCTACCCGGACATAAAGAAAGAAAGAGAGCCCACCATTTCCAAGTCTTAGACCACCTGAAGACAATCATGGTGTCCTAGAATCTGAGGGGTCTGTTGACAGTATTACCCAAGAATGTGCTGTCATGTTTGAGGTAGGCAAGATCCTTCTTTTGTCTGTACCTGTCCTGCCCTAGAGCCATGGTGATGCTTTGGAAGGGCTGCCTCCAGGGAGTCTGCAGGTCAGGCAATGTGAATGTGATTGGGGGCTTGAGTCTGAGGAGGTCTAGATTATAATGGTTCTTGGCTAGAGCCTTCTGGATCAGAGCCACACTGGAGTTGGTACTCAGAGCATGTGGTGGCAGCTCTGAGTGGGTGTCCAGTTGGAGTTATGGACCTTGGCATAGGCCAGCCTCTGGGAAGCAATTGGGTCAAAGCTGGGAAAGCTAAGGATGGTGAGTCTACTACCCCTTAATGCCTGGTAGAGATGGGAAGTCATCTGCAGCTAGCTTTAATCCATGCCCAAGGTGTCCCCTCCTGGGCAGGATACCCAGGCCAGAGCCAGCCCAGGCATCTGTGAGGTAGGCTGGCAAGCAGTGGTCTCCTGAAGCATCCTTCCCATTGCTCATCTTTCTGTCTGACTCCAAAGTCAGCCCACCAAAGTCCCTGGCTTTGCAGGAAGGCCCTCTGCCTACGGAGACCTGACCTCTCCTTGCTGTCCCTAAAGAAACTATTTCTTGGGGAAGCGCCATTACAAGGGAGGCATTTACAGTGATGTCATTAAGTATCTGTCCTGTATATACAGAAAGCATACATGGTCCAGTCTACAACTGGCCAGATGGCAGGTGTCCCTGTTAATGAGAGAGGTCACCACATCCAGGTCACCATTCGGAATAATCGTCTCTGGAAAGGTCCCCAACCACAGTGACCAAAGAGAGGGTAGAGAGTGGTAGGGAAGGAGCCAGCTTTCTGGACACCCAGCCTGGACCTCAGCATGGGCAAAGCCGTCTTTTTGAGGACTGTACCAGGGACACATTGTCCGTAAGAGTGCAGGTCTTAGTCTCTGGGGCCCAACCTGATTGCTCTCTTTGCTCCCTAGGGTCTGGATGACTATGGGGCACGGTCTGTGAGCAGGTAAGAGGCTTCAGATTTCGTTGTGGGTGGGTGGGTGGGTGGCCATGGGCTCGGGTAGAGTAACTTCTCTCTTGGGACCTAGAAAAATGGCTTTTCTTACTTTGGGAACCCAAGGCTTGACCCTGAGCCTGCCACCAGAGTTGGACCCACCCACCTCTCCTGGGCTCCTACTCTGCTCTTTTCTAAGTAGAGTGAGCATATCCTGCTGGTTCTTGGTGTCTTGGCCTGCTCTGTCCATCCCAGCCGGCAGGACAGGGTTGGGAAGGGTCGTCAGCCCACCTCTAGGCCTTTTCTCCCTAGAACCAGGTAGGACCACAAGGGCTGGAGCTGCTGCCCTGGGCACAGTCTTGTCCTGGCTTCATCATCCTCCCAGAAGCCAGGTAGCCTGGCTGCTGGCCCGGGCTGTTGCTGGGTGGCGGGCGGGCGGGCCTGCTGCCTCTGGCTGACGGTGGGCATGCATCTGGGCAGCTGTCCTGTGCTTTGTTCCACAGTGGCAGTGGCACGCTCGTGTCCACAGTGTGAGGATGCTGACCCCAGGCAGCTGCTCTGAAGAGCTCCTCCCCCGTCTCCATCGGTTTCCCTCCTCAGCTCTCGTTGGTTTGTTCCCGGGTTCTTTTCTTTCCCACCCGCTCCTGCCTTTTGGTTGGTGACCCCAGACTCTGAAGCTCCTCAGGGTCCATGGTGCTGCTCCCCGCGCCCCGTGCTCCTGCCCCCAGCAGGGTCCCTCGCCTTGAGCAGTACCTGCCAGGTGGGGCCTGCTGGCTGGGTGGCAAAGCAGTGTCCTTACCTGCTGCCCTAGCCCTGTGGTGTTCACGATGCACATCCCTTTTCTAAGGCTGGCCACGAGCCAGGTCTAGAGTTTGAAGAAAAAGAAAAATCTTAAAAAAAAAAAAGAAAAAAAAAAAGAAAAAAGAAAAATAGGAAAAAGGACTTTTTTTTTCCTAAAAACAAAAACAGATATGCATGGACTCCGGTGTACGTACTGTTATTCTGCATCTGACCCCCAGAGTGCTGGCATCTTCTAGAACAGGAAGGGGCTTAGGGCCCTGGGGGCTCAGGCCCAGGGACCTTGGCCTGCCTCAGGCCCCTTCCAAGGGCTGCACCGAGAAAAGGGGCTTACATGGGCACTCGGGAGCCTCCTGAGGAAGCTGGCCACTCCTGTGATGGAGGCTGCAGCCCCAGCCAGGCCCTGCCCATCCCACAAAGCCAGGCACTGGGCCTCTTTCCTTGGCAGATTCTGCTGGGCAGGTACATGTAGAACGGAGTGCGGCGTCCCTACAAAGGGTGGCGTTACCTCATGCAGTGCCCTGGCGGGAGCTGGGGACAAGAGCAGGTGCTGCCCGGCCACATGCGGACATTCCAAAGACCTCGAGACCAACCCCACCCGTCCATCCACACACACACACACACACACACACACACTTTTGGGGAATCATTTCTATAACCAGCCTTTGAGGGAGTCACGGCCCTGTTGCCCCTGGGCTGCAGGGGGCCGGGGGGAGAGGCGGGCCCTGGCCCAGCTCCTCCTAAGCACTCTCGTCTTTTGTGTGTCTTGGTGACTTTAGAAACAGGCACACTGGACTCAGTGGCTACTGGTTTTGTCTCTTCACACACTGAATTCTGGGCAGCGGAGCCCAAGGCCCAGCGGGCTCAGGCCTGCACCTGGCGGGAGCCCTTGGGAAGCAGCAGACGCGCCTCTGATGTGGTTAGCAAAACCTTCCACAAGCCTGCCGAGGACTAGGGCGTGGCTGGTCGAGTCTGACGCAGCAGCTCAGACACAGACAGACAGACCCTGTTTTATATTTAAGGAAAACACAGCCAGAACTTGGACCTGTGTAAAGAACTTTCTGTGTTGTTCTAATTTTGCTAAAAGTTTCAAATCCAGGGGATTCCATGTGCAATGGATGAATGTAGACACAAACAGCAAACTTGTATGAAGATGTAAAGTGCTAAAAAATATTTTTTCCTTTTTCCTTTCCTTTTTTTTAAATCTGAACTGTGCCCTGTACTGCAGTCAACTGTTGGAATAAAGGTTTTATTTATTGCACTGAGTTGGTCTGGTGCCTCCTTCCAGCTCCCTGGCATGTGTTGGGGCTGTGTGGGCCAGGCCACACCTCAGTGCACCCCGGCTTGTGGCCCAGTGCAGTCTCTTTGCTCATTTGCAGGTCATTCTGAGACCAATTCTAGGTTTGCAGATAGCGCCAGCCCAGCTGGCTCTAACGATGACACCCGGGCGGGTGGCTGCCACCCTGGCTGAGAAAGCAGGGCCTATAAGGGCCTGGCGCCGACTCCAGGAGAAAACGTGCCCGTACTGCTGTGCCCCTTAGCCCCCTTCTCTGCCAAGGACTGGAGGTTCCTCCTGGCAGCCTGCACCTGCTCCACCGGTGTCCGTCCCGTCTGGCCTTCTGCTGCCCAGTGTCCTTAGATGTGCGTCCGCTGCTCTAGTTTTACCAATAAGCCTTGTGTTTCCTTACAGTGCTGATGTCGAAGTGGCCAGATTTTGAGCTGCCCCTGACTAGCGTTAGTAAGTTGCCCTGGTTTTGTGTCCATCTGTGTGCATCTGCAGTGGTTATGGCTGGGTCCTTCGGCCTGAGTCTGCACAGCCTCCACAGGAGGGGTCTGCTGCCTGGCAGGGCCTGGGCTCTGCCAAGTTGCCTTGCTCTGGGCGCTGGACCTTCCTTCCCCTGGTTCCTCCTCGGCTTGTGGTTCTCCTGCCTTCCTTCTGCCTGGAGGCTTGTGGTTCTAACTCTGCCCCTTCACTGCCTTTGCTGCCAGACACGGGGCTGGCCCAGATCTGTTCTCTCCTGCTCTGCTGGGTGCTTCACCACAGTCAAAGGGAGACCCAGGGGAACAGCCGCCCCCCGTCACTCAGCATATACCTGGGTGTCCCCTGGGGTGTCGTGGGTGTTGGTCATGAGCCCAGCTGTTGAGTGCCGCAGCTGAACCAAGCCTGGGCCTAGCGTCAGGTGGACCTCTGTCATCAGATCTTGCCTCTTCTGGTTCCCTCCACTTCCTCACATGGCTACAAGACACTACTAGCCAGGCTGCTTTTTCCCTTGGTGCTGGAGAAGTGGACCAACATGGAGGAGGGCACTCTTCACAGTGCCTGCCATAGTGGAAGGGGCTTTTATTCCCTTCCCACACTACGGAGGGGTGGCATGAGAAGCCAGGACCTGTGTTCCTTAACAGGAGTGGTCATTATCTCCCTGAGAGTCACGGTGATGTATCCTAGCCCATGGGCAGCCAGGCCACTCAGGCAGACCCAGAATACCTTTTCCTGTTGTTACCATCTTCCTGGGGATCTGTGATGTGAATTCTGTAGGAGTTCTGCTGAAGTTTACAGAGAGGGTGAAATGCCCTTGGCTGACTCTGGGCTGGCCACCTTTCTCTGGCCTCCATCTGCACACCCAAGATGTTCTTTGGGTGGGAGGCCTACATTTCCTGCCCAAGCCTGCCAGACCCCACACCTTACTGCCCTCTGGGTCCCACTAAGCCAGTTAGGGGCCATGTCATCCTCACCTGCAGAGGCATGAGAAAAGGCTCGGAAGGCTGGTGCAGCCCTTCCTGGGACCAAGTTGTGCTAGGACCAGGACTTGGGTGTGACAGGCACAGGACAGAATAGGTTTGCAGACCCTGAACGTGTCCCGGCCACAGTCTGCCTTGCCTTGCGGCTCACCTAGCTGAGAGTGAAGGGGGTGTTCCAAAGCACTCACACACAGCTTCACCCTGAATTTAGGACTGCAGGAGGGTTGCTACCACACTTGGCTTGGTTCTGGGGGGTGCCCTAGCCCTGTGTAGGTAGAAGAAATGGAAACCCACAGGTATGCACAGGTCCTCCATGAGGACTTGTCCTCGGTGGTGGCCAGCCTCTCATTGCCTGGCTGTTGAGGAAAATAGTAAAGATGGAGCTGGGAAGGCAGGCTGTGCTGCTGCAGGGGGTTGAGCCTCTCCAGGTTTCTGGTCACAGCGTTGTCCATCGATGGGTGTCTGCAGAGCTGGGGAGAGAGCTGACACTGGCTGTTACCCAGCTGGTGTCCCACCATGCTGCCTCAGCCAACTCCATCCTGCATAAATGCCGTTTGTCATTCCTGGATCCCAGGCCTGGATGCCTGGTCCTCCTTTTCTGTTGGTGCAGGTTCTGTTGTTGAGACCTGCCAATGTTGGTGATAGTTTCTGCTGGGCACAGCATGTGCTGGCCATGTCCCCCGCAGGTTAATTTCACTAGTCTGCTGAGTGTCTTTGAAAGGAAGCATGTCCCTGGATTCTGCTAATGGGAACATGTACAGAGCAAGACTTTGCTGTGGCTTTGGCATCTGTGGATGGTTCTCTGTGCTCCAAATGGCCCCATGGCTTTGGGGGGTGAGAGAAGAAAGAGTTTGAGAACAGAGGGCCTCTTGGGTGGGGCACTCTGGATCTGAATTTCCATTCTAGTACTAGCTGGTGATAGATTCTTTCGGTGAGTTAAGGAGCAAGGCAAATGGACAGGAATAAGGCATGTTCTGCAAATACCTCAGCCATTCTGCTCAGGCCTGGTCCCACGATAACCCTGCCCTGGGACCTGGGGCAACCTGCTCGTTGCTCTGCTCTGTCCCATTCCCTCAACAGAAAGACCTGTCCTCATTCCAAGTGTCCCCAGGGCTGTTGCCTTTGCCGGGCTTGAGAGCCCTTCTGTAGAATCTGGAGTGGGCCAAGGACAGCCTGGCCATGCCGGAGGCTGCAGCTAACACCCTTGCTGTAATGGCAGGGTCTGTATCTCACGCCTCAAACAGCCACAGTGAGGGCTGCAGAGCAGAGGAGCCCAGCAGGGGGCAGAGCTCACGCTGCAGGCAGAGCTGACGGTGGCCCCCAATCTCTGGCTCTCAGCAGAGGTGAGCAGTGACAGACACCAAACCCCACAGCCACCAGGGACCTGTGCCTCGCTGTACTTCATTAAAACTTCACAGTCCGAGTGTTTCAGACTTTTAGAAAATGTAATCTTCAGGAAAATGTAGGGTGAGACTCTACCTATGTAGGTCTTCCTGGGGACCCTGAATGGAGAGCCTGCTCGCCCACCCTGGGCCTACCATCAACCCCCAGGCTTCTGAGAACCCACCAGGCACAGAGGTGACCCATTCCAGGTAATGGCTGTAGAGCCAAGCACGTCTCCCTGGAAGTGCAGTCCTGTGCCTTGCGAGTCCCCGTGTCCACGCGCCATCCATGCTGTCACTGTGGAGCTGCCTGGCCCCCCCACCTACTGCCCTGGGCTGTTCCTACTGGAGTGGATCCTCCCAAGCCTGACAGGGACTGCAGAACAGGCTGCCGGGAGGGCCGGTCTGGTGCAGCCTGTCTGTACTCATCTGTTTCATTTCCACTTCTTGTCTTGAGTCTTGTTGTGTATCAGCTGTGGCCTGAGGGCACTTGGGTGGCTCAGCCACCACTCAGGAAAGTATCTAGTCCCTCAGCAGAGGGAACTGTCATCTGGCCAAGGCAGTGGCCTTGGTGTCCACCCCTAGCCTATGGAGTCAGGGCTCATGCGCCCCATGTCTGTCATGTCCGTGTGTCTACAGTGTGCCTCCTGTGGCACCCTGCATGCTTGGGCTGGTTTGTGTGACCTGTGAGCTGCGTCCTCTGTGTACGGGAGAACCACTCTTTGGGCACCACCTGGGGGCGGGGGCTTACCAGACTCTAGCAGGCCTTCCTTAAGGACGTTGTCAGGCCATTCACCCCAAGTTGGGAAGGGAACAGCCAGTGCTCACCCTCACCATCATGCCCACGCTGCTGTCCAGCGTGGAGCATGTAAGGTGACAGTGGGTAGACATGGGAGGGGCTGACAGGCCTTGGGACAGCACCCAGCTCCAACCCTGGCTCCAAGAATAGGCCACTGGGATCTAGTGCTGGGGTCCCAGGAGTGGCCTGGTAGCACAGCTTAACTGGAACACCTGCCCAAACTAAAACTGCTCTTCTTTCCCCAGGAATCCCTTCGCCAACGTCCATCTGAAGCCAACAGTGACCAATGACAGATCAGCCCCTCTGCTCAGCTGACGGGCTCATCTGCATCCCCGCGCACACAACCGAGGGTAACTGCGGTGTGTCCCTTTCTGGAGAAGACAGCCTTGCCCCACTCCCTAACATGGCCTCGCATCAGCCCAGCCTGGGCTGGATCCCAGGTGTCCTGGGGAGGTGGCTGCCTCAAGAGGTCAATGCCCGCTGGCCATGGGTGTGCCCCAACAGAGGGGCCAGCATCGAGGGGGCAGGCATCTCTGATCCCAACTGTGGAACCTTGAGTCCCTCTGAATACAGAAGAGGACATTCTGTCAGCTTGTAGCTGGAAGGGATCCTGTTCCCATGCTGATTTTTTTTATTTTTAATTTTTTTAGCTCACATGTGTCTGGTCAATAAACATGCCCACCTGTGTGCAGTGTGTGATCTGTCAGCCTGGTGGCCTGACCAGGAACAGGGTGGGGCACACCCGTACCCTTATAAAAGTGATTTCTCATGAGCACAGACGAGAGCCCGGGCCCAGCCCAGCCCCAGCCGATTCCCTGCGTCAGCTACAACGCAGGACCTTGATAAAGCTTCGTCAGACCTTTGAATGCAGCAGTGTGGTGAGCTGAGTTGATGAGAAGTTCTAGGGTGCAGAGAAGACCCAGGCAGAGCTCCTTCATCGGTTACCCCAGGAAGAGCTCTGGGGCCACCTACCCATCAGGCAGGCTCATAGGCTAGCCTCGGACAGGGCAGAGTGGGAGCACAAGAGTGCAGTTACCAGTACCCTGCCTCCCACCCCACCACTGCCAGCTGAGGACGGGCTGTGGGGGGGGGCTGCTCTGGGGGGTCCCCTTGCATCTGACCTGAGAGAGCCTTCTTGAGGGATAGGAGAGGACTGAAGGGGCGAAGGAACAGAGGTGACTGCTAGGTTCCCCATCTGTCATCCCCCCGAGGGTGTTAGCTGCAGACGGGAAAGAAAACACTGAGCACAAAGGCTGTTTTTTCTTAGCTTGGTTTCTCTTAAAAAACAAGGAACAAGAAAATCATTGCACCAGCATCCTAAGCCTCAAACTAAAAACAAAAACAAAACAAAACAAAAAACATTGCCCCCACCCCCAAAGCAACAATATACTTTACATGTCTTTGGCAACAATAACTTAGAATCACCCCATTTCCATTCACTCCAGCAAGTTACAAAAATATTCCCTGTACAGCCCACCCTAGCCCTGTTTTCTCCCAGCCCTGCCTGCAGGCAGGAGCCCCACAGTGGCTGTAGGGTACACCCTATTCTTCTCCGACCAGGGTAGGGGCAGGGCACTTCTCTGTAAGGGAGTGTTTCCCACACTACCCTGTCCGTAGAGGGCATCTCTGGGGGCAGTCCCGCTGCGGCCTGGAAGCCTCTGCTACATGGCAGGACCTAGGCCAGAACAATCCAGACAGACCCTGTGGGGGCTTCTGCAGACGCAGTGAAGGGGAACCGCCACAGACTCTGAGACAAGGGCTTGGAGCCCAGGGGTCCAACCTTGCTCTGAGCAAACCTAGACCCAGGTAAGGGGGGTGGGGACCCAAAAGGGACCTGCAGGCTTAAAGCCATCTTGAAACCTGGCCAAGTGTCCTTTGAACACAAGGCAGGACGTAGCCAACAGGGCATGCAGGCCCTTGGACTGCATGATCCCGGCCTGCAGCCAGTTCACCAACGGCCATCTAGGAAGAGTGGCTTCCGGGTGGGGTGGGGGTCTGTCAGGAGTGAAGAGCCACCTAGGGTTGGGGGGCCCTTCTTGAGTGTGTATGTGTATGCTTACGGACACCCACCGGCCCTCAGGCTACAGGTACATCCCGGGGCTAGCAGCAAACCCCAGTGTCCACTCAGGACACATCCGCCATCAGGCAGCACAGAGGAGGTGCACGCCCCATCACGTCCAGGGCTAGACGCAGGCTCTCATCCCCCTGCTTCTCCAGGATGCTGTGGGCGTGCCGATGGTCCCCATTCATTCCCGGCCACCATCCTCGCTGCTGCCTGGATAGGATGGCAGGGGCTCCAGGGACACCAGCCTCCGAAGGGTGGGACTACCTGGGTCTCAAGCCTCTGTGTATCGGCCCCCAGCACTTGCTGCTGGGCCTGGTAAAGGGGACGCTATGTGAGCACGTGGGGAGGTAACCAGACACAGGTTCTCACGCACCCAAACCCACCCGCCCCAACTGCCTGGCCCACCAACAGGTCTGTTCAGTGTGGTAGACCTGTGGGTGGGTGGGAGATGGGCCCATTTCTCCTCCCACGTCACCCAGCTCCAGGGCCAGCAATGCTTAGCAAATGCCCTCCGTGTCCTTGTACACATGGGAACTGAGGCCCAAAGAGGACATGGCCACGGTCATCTCCTTGTGCCAGAGAGGAGGCTGACAAGTCCCCTCTCAAGGCCACCTACCACAGCCAGGGGAGGGTAAGAAGTAGACAGAAAGGACTTCAAAACTGTGGGTAGGCTACAGGAGGTAGACCTGGCAGAGGAGCCTGCCCTGCTGCGCGTAGTGGAGGGACACTTGACTGGGTGGGCCGTGGTACCACCACTTGGGTAAAGTCCTGACGGGCACCTACCTACCAAGAACCTCAGATCAGAAGTATGCCAGTAGATGGCAGTAGGAGACCTCCGTGCTGGGACTGCTCTAGCGAGCTGGGGGAGGCCAGGGTGGGGCCGGGAAGTGCAGAACAAATGCTCGGTGCCAGCAGTCTGCTGGGGAGGGTAGACTGGGCAGAGGGTGGGCAGGTTCTGGGGCCCAGGAGGCAGGAGGCCAGTGCACCTGGACACAGTGTCTGCCCAGAGGCCAGGGGCCACCAAGCCTCCCCTGCTGACGCCTCTCACAGATGCCCATCCGCAGTGTCCCACCTCAGCCCCACCTCACTCACCTCCCACCGACTGGGCATCCGAGTCAGACACGTGAGTGATGGAGAAGCGGGAGGCAGGTGTGGGAGACACGGTGAACCGGGAGAGGGGTGCGGCTGGCGTGGTAGGCGTGGCCAGGACAGGGTCAGCAGGGTCCAGTGCGGTCACCATAGCAGCCTTGCCCGGCGCCGGCGGGAAATCATCATCCCATTCGAACCTACTACCTGCAAGTCAGGCCACAGAGTCACTTTCCTTATTCCGTCTCCCAGCCCCCACCCCCCTAACCCCCCCACCCCGCTTCAGGTGATATCACGTTCTGAACCCGGCCTCCCATGACGGTGATGTCACGATCTGGCCCCCAACACCTGGCTCACCCTGTTCAGGAGTGGAGCTGTCCGGCAAGTGGTCAGCTCGCCGCGGCAGGCCAGGGGCACTGGGCGAGCCGGGGCTACCCTCCAGGAACGTGGGGAGTGATTCCTTCGTGCTGGGGAATGGCTCCCCAGTCTCTCGGGTGGGGCTCTCCTGGAGGGGCAGAGCAGTGTGTGATTTGGGCTGCCCACCCTCTCCCAGCCCCGTGCATACCCACAGCAACAGCCCACCTGGTCGAAGAGGTAGACCGTGACGTCATCAAAGAAGGACACGGCCTTCTTCTTGCGCTCCAGGTCCTCGCAGAAGGCCTCAGACAGAAGGCTGGGCATCTTCAGCAAGCTCCGCAGATTTCGGGCACTCTGGCTCTCAGCCACTACCACAGGCACCGCTGGCGGCTCCTCCTCACTGTCCTCGCTGGGCTCCTGGATGCTGTAGCATCGAAGCTCCTCATCAGATTCGTCACTGTCTTCACTGTCCTCTTCGTCCTCTGGCCGGCCCTCCAAAGCCCCAGCGTGGCCAGGCAGGGCCAGGCAGAGCGGGGATCTGGGTGTGCTAGGGCTCCCCGTCCGCCCGAGCTGGGCTGGCCCTGACAACTGTCCTGGGGGCCCCTGGGGCGCCATGCCATTGCCTTCTGAGCTCAGGGGGACTGAGGTCAGCAGGAAACATTTGGAATGACTAGGGCTGGGCACAGGCTGCCCCTCAACTGGGGCTTGAGCCCCAAGAGGCTCTGGCCCGCGGCCATCTGGCAAGGGCTCCTCTGGCTGCTGTGCTGGAGGCAGCGTCTCCCCGGGGCTAGTATCTGGGTCCTCCCTGGGCACGTCAGGCCCGGGGAAAGCCTGCACAGACTGGTGCCCTGAGCTAGGTGGGCTCTTCAGGTCTTGCTCCTTTTGGGAGTCCTGGACCCCACTGCACTTCTCAGGGCCAAAGGTGGATTCGGACTCAGCGTCCAGATCCGAGAAATAGGCAGAGTCTCGGTAGGGGTTCTTCTTGCTGAGGCCACCAAGGGAGACAGAGAGCAAAGTCTCCGGCCCTGGGCTCTCACCCTCTGAGGCTAGCTCCCCAAAGGCCTCAGGCTCACTAGACTCATGTGCCTCTTTGAGCACAAACTCTGGAGACTCGTAGTTCTCTGTATCATAACCACTGTCCACGGCACGGGGCTGCCCAGCAGGGGGACCAGCAGCCAACGGGCTCAAGACCTCACAGCCGCCATCGCTGGCTGAGGACGGGATGTCCAGAGAGTCGAGGGAGTCGGGGGTCCCCACCTGCTTCTGCAGACAGCGCAAGGCTGGTGTTATGCCTGGCTTCTCAGGGTGAGGGCCATCACTGGACAGGTCGGTGAAGACTCCTGACGTAGCCTCAGTGGCGTCCTCGTCCTCACTGCTAGGTGCCTCTTGCCCCAGAGAACTGCCGCAGCTGTCCAGGGTGAGGGCCGGCATGGGGACAGTCACCCGGCTGCCAGCAGCGGGCGTGGGAGGGGCAGGCAGGAGGTCGGGAGCGCTTGCCTCCTCCGAGGGAAGTGGGGCTCCTTCGTGGGATGGGGAGGGGACAGAAGGAAGAGATAGCTGGGATTCCGCAGAGCTCTCTGCCTCCTGGGCAAGTTTGGGTTCCACCTGGGGGTTATCGCCCCCACCTGCAGCTGCCTCTGTCCAGGGGCGTGTGGCCAGGCAGGAAGCAGGTGCCAGGCCTTTGGCAGGACACAGAGGGAGCAGGCTGAAGCAGTGGCTTGGCTCCGGACCAGGGGAGGCTGCTGCTAGCCCAGGCAGGAATTCTCTGGGATCCTCCTGGGACAGGGGGTGGCCCAGCTCAGGGGAGGCCCGTGGGGTCTGCTCTAGGCTGGAGAGGTCATCCCTGTAGCTGTCTGTGAAGCTGCTCACATAGCCAGGATCCCAAGATTCTGGGTCTCGGCTGCCACTGTTATTATTGGCTGACACGTTAGAGCTCCAGTGTCCACACTGAGCAGCAGCCTTCCCTGTCTTTTCCCCCTCCAGCTCCTCATCGCTGGGAGATGCCTGGGCCTCAGGACTGCCAGAGGGAGATGCACTCAGCGGGTCATCGAAGAAGGGTGGGCAGAAGGTAGCCACACCCCAGTCTATGTCTTCAGCTGGCAGCATCGGGGTCCCGGGAGAGGGTGAGCGTGAGGGGCAGGGTGGCTCCTGCCTCCTGCACGAGTGGTGGTCACGGGGC